AWMTKWMWTCGCGGGATATTCAWCAAAGTGACCARATCAAACTACACAYATCGATAAACATCAGTTTATAAGAACCATCAAAGACAGGAAAGCCTTCAAAGGATTTTCCYYKTTGCCTAGATATTGCTAGATAAACGGAACTCGATCACATACTCATAGGAGATCTGAAAAACACTCAGSCAAAGACAACAGACTTGCAAGCTCTCTCGTGAATATTTGCCATGTTTATTCTAAGTTAATGTTCTGTTCTTATTTACACTACACTGATTATATAATTTTACGATTTATCGATATTCGAGTACTATTATTCATAAAATATAGCGTAATTTGATAACAGGGTTCGTGCTGCATATTTACCACAAAATTCCAGGACCTGTCAAGTACTTTTTGAACGAAAAAAAAAGTTTTCACGGATTGTTTTTCTTTTAGTTAATCTTGTCTGATGACCTTTAATATTTCCGGCGGAATAACCCCTCAAAAAGCAAAAAAAATATAATTCCAGGAGTTTTTTATCAATTCCTTYTAAGTGCTCTTCAGAACAAGCTTATCAAGGAGAAGCACGAGCCTTGAGGTTAAGGGGAAGTCAGTTAAATTTCATGTTTTTTCTTAATACTCTGCTTGGGTGACATACAAGAAGACTTGAAGTCCTGGGTACATGGTAACAATGCATTACTCGTATTCTGGGGCGGATCCAGGGGGTGTTMATTGTCGCAAGCAGACACCCCCTTAGCACGGCATTTATTACGTTATTTACAAACCAATACTACCCTATTATRATGTAATGAGTAGAAATAGAAATATGTAGAACAATGTGTTAGATGAATTTTTTTCAAAGAATGGATAACATTTTAAAGTGTCTATTTTATAATAACAATATTTCTTTATTTGGGACACCCCCTAAGAAATGTGTGTATCTTATTGTGCCCCATATTGTTATTATACACCAGGACTTCAATTTTCTAATATGTACGTGGTTGTCTAAAATACCCTTAATGGACTATTTCTAGCTCTTTCCTCGTGAACGGCGACAATGCAGTGCGCCATCGTGAAGAAAGATAGGTGTAGTGTTTTCATAAAAGTTACAGAAAAGAATCTATCAGCTTTTGTGTGAACGATTCTAGCGGAATTTGGCACCGTGCTAAGTGCTATGTCGATCCGAGCTTCTGGTACTGGTAGAACGTGCCAAGAAAGGATTCTAGTAGCAGCGTAAGGTAAAA